CAAAGAAACGCGATCCAGCAGGTGTGGAAATTTTCGAACAAAATTAATAATATCTCATGCAAGTAAAATTTTGCTGAAGATCATTCAAAAGTGATTGCAGCAGTACATCGACAAGGAACTGTCAGAAATTCAAGCCAGATTCAGAAGAGGATGTGGAACGTGGGATATCATTGCTGATGTCAGATGGATCATGGCTGAAAGCAGAGAATACTGGAAAGATGTTTACCTGTGTTTCATTGACTGTGCAAAGGCATTCGACTGTGTGGATCATAACAAATTATGCATAACGTTTTGAAGAATGGGAATTCCATAACTCTTAAATGTGCTCATACGGAACCTATGCATAGACCAAGAGGCAGTTGTTTGGACAGAACAAGGAGATACTGTGTGGTTTGAAGTCAGGAAAGGTGTGTGTCAGGGTTGTATCCTTTCACCATACTTATTCAATCTGTATGCTGAGAAAATAACCTGAGAACCTGGACTATATGAAGAAGAACCAGGCATCAGGATTGGAGGAAGACTCATTAACAACCTGCATCATGCAGATTACATAACCTTGCTTGCTGAAAGTGAAGAGGACTTGAAGCACTTACTGATGAAGATCGAAGATCACAGCCTTCAGTATGGATTACACCTCAACATAAAGAAAACAAAAATCCTCACAACTGGACCAATAAACAACATCATTATAAACAGAAAAGATTGAAGTTGTCAAGGATTTCATTTTACTTGGATCCACAGTCAATGCCCATGGAAGCAGCAGTTGAGAAATCAAAAGATGCATTGGAAAAATCTGCTGCAAAAGACCTCTTTAAAGTGTTAAAAAGTAAAGATGTCACTTTAAGTACTAAGGTACGTCTGACTCAAGCCGTGGTGTTTTCAGTCACCTCATACGCATGTGAAAGCTGGACAATGAACAGGAAGATAAAAGAAGAATCGATGCCTTTCAATTATGGCATTGGCGAAGAATATTGAAAATACCATGGACTGCAAAAGAGTGAACAAATCTGTCTTGGAAGAAGTACAGCCAGAATGCTGCTTAGAGGCAGGGATGGCAAGACTTCATCTCACATAGTTTGGACATGTTATCAGGAGGGACCAGTCCCTGGAGAAGGACATCATGGTTGGTAAACTAGAGGATCAGCAAAACAGAGGAAGACCCTCAATGAGATGGATTGACACAGTGACTACAACAGTAGGCTCAAGCATAACATTGATTGTGAGGATGGTGTAGGACCCGGCCATGTTTTGTTCTGTCGTACATAGGGTCGTGACTCAACGACACCTAACAACAACAACATCTGTTTTACCCTCCTCACCCCACCACAAAAATGAAGGTTTCTTAAAGGCAGGAATGATGTTTTATTCATCTTTAGTGGTGTGTGCTTTATAAGTGTCCAGTCAATATTTTTTGAATCTTTGTCTTTTCATTATTTTAAAACTCAGATATTACATCTAATTTCTTTCTATTCTGGCCATAAAAGTCCCCATTTTTCTGAATTGGATATTCTTTCCCTCTTTCCTCCCTCGCAATTTTTAGTCATGTTCTTTCTTCTCTTCTGGACTATTTCTAAATTTCTACAGAAAAATATTATAGTCAAAGAGTTGATCATCACGGCCTCAGGTCTGAATAGTTTAGCTCATTCTACTCTCATGTGTTCCCTTTTAAAAGTTTCCTTACTTGTAAAGTGAGGAGAATGATACACATCTGATAGGATTAATAAAATAGTCTATATAAATACTTATAAATCACGCAACTCGGTTTCCTAGACTCTTCATTCAGAGTATTTTCTTCTGATATCTAATTTCTTTTGTATGCAACTTTTTTAAAAACTGTAGATTGAAATTCTTTGTACAGTGGAGTATATCCATTTAGAAGAACAATGATTAATCACTTGCAAGTGTACCTCATAGAAAACACCTGAATGAGATGTTTTTGCCAAAATAATTTTTAAAGGATAAGTTAACATGTTTAAGAATATCTTGCCAAAGTGTCATTCCAAAAGTCATCTTGAAGTTTCTGTTTTGAATGACCGTCATGTTTGAGTTTTTAGTAGGTTTCATGCTATATTGATATTGTGTATTGCAGTCTTGAAAATATGTACAATGTATACTATGAGTCATACATTGGTGGATATTGTAACTTTAATTTGGTTTTTATTTCAGAGAGCTATTGTCTTTTTATCAGTTCAGGAGCAATTTTCATGAGTGGTTGAAAATGAGAACATTTGGAACTATAATTCAGTAGCTAGCAGTTTGGTTCTTTTTATTCTAGGATAAATAGTAAGAATTTAGGGACTGGATTTTTAATATTTATATAAATTTTCTTTTTATAATAATGATTTAATTAGGTTTTGTTGTTGTTTTTAAATCAGCCTTTTCTCACTTGCTCATCCCATAATCTCAAGTGAGAGAAGGCTTATTAGAGGAAGTGGTATTTAAGCTGAGACCTGAAAAGTGAATAAAATTTATCCAGGTAAAGTGAGGATAATGATTTTGGGGTTGAGAGTAGGTTGTATTATTGTAATTAATTATTGATCATGAACAAGGTACCCAAATGTATTTTAAGTCTTGGATCTAAGACAACTATTTACAGTAAAAGGAGAAAATTGAAAGCAAGCCAGTAAATAAGCCAGGAGTTAGTTTGGGGGATATTTAATGCAATTGATTGAGTGTTCTTTTATTCTTGAAAATCTCTATCTGTATATTCAGTAAACTAAACCTTATACATTCCACCCAGCTTATCTTAGTTGCTAGTGCTGCTGTAACAGAAATATCACAAATGGGTGGCTTCAAAAAACAGAGATTTATTTTCTCACAGTTCTAGAGGCTAAAAGTCCAAATCGGCATCTTGGCCATGTTGATTCCTCCTTTGAGTCTTCCTCCTAGTTTCTGGTGACTGCCAGCAATCTTTGGTGTTCCTTGGTGTCTGTCTTCTCCCTGTGTCTATTCTGCTTTTTTAAAATTATTTTCTTAATTCTGCTCTTTTTAATTCTCAGAAGTGATTGGGTTTAGGACCCAGCTACTCTGGTATGACTCCGTTAACCTAACAAGGTCATATTTACAGGTATAGGGGTTAGGATTTTAACACATATTTTTGGGGAGACACAATTTAATTGATAACACACTTTATAGTCCTCTTACAGATAAAGCGTTTTCTGTTCATCCGTTGCTTGGGCTGTTGCATCCAAAAAAAAAAAAAAAAAAAATCTGTTCCATTATCAGACATCTATTATGTGCTAGACAAAGTGTGATATGTACTATGACAGGTGAAGGATAGGGTGCTGTGGAAGCCTGACACAACCAGGGGTTGGGGAGCTGGTGAGAGAAAGTTTATAAGAAAAAGTGATATTCCAGCTGAGATCTGAAAGGTGAATAAGATTTATCCAGAAAAAGTAGGGATAAGGATGCTGGGGGTGGGAGTAGACATGGAGAGTATATTTCATATAAAGAAAATAATGTATTTAAATACGTTTGTTAAGAAAGAAACTATTATAGCTATGAAGCTATAATAAGAGCTATAAATTATTGAATGACTATTAGGTAATGGCCACTGTTCGAAGCACTTTACATGCATTAATATCTTTAATCCTTATAATAACCATATGAGGGAGCTGCTTTTATTCCACTTTCATTGATTTGTTATAAGTATATGAGTAATGTAATATATAATTCTTTCCTTCTCATTAGGTCTAAATTTTAGAGCATTGGTATTATTTTATGTTGGTTTAAGTAAGCCAGAAGTAGTCTGTAAGCGTGTTTTAGTAAAAAAACATATATGTGTGTGTGTATATACATATTTTTATATGTGTGTGTTTGCATTTTAGCTTGACAGAAAACGATAGTATAATAGAATATGATATATATGAATAATCAAGTCTATGACTATTAAAATTAACTTATAATTTCTAGTTTGCAAGAAATATGGATGATAGAGAAGAAGGTAATTGATATTGTGAAAAAACAATACGACAAATCCAGATTGTGACATGTTCTAAAAGATAATTGGCCTGGACTCCTCAAAAAAGTCAGTATCATGAAAAAGAAAAGGACAGAGAGGCTCTAGATTAAACTACACTGAAAGAGACATAACAATCAAATGCATTGTATGAACTTTGAGTTGATCCTGGATTAAAAAAAAAAGATAATTAAGGGACAGCCAGAGAAATTTGAATATGGGCTAAATATTAATGATATGAAATATTGTTAATTTTCTTATGTGTGATAATGGTATTATGGTTCTTTAGGAGAAGGTCTTTATTCTTAGAACATGCATGCTGAAGTATTTAGGAGTGAAATGTCATGTTTTTAAAAATTATAATGTAGTAATTTCTCTAAAATTTTATTTTTTTAGTAGATCATTATGGGATTCCCAGTATAGGATCGCTATGAGTCAAAATTGACTGGATGGCAATGAGTTTGTATGTTTTTTTAAATATCAAATAATTATAAAATTCTTAATTTACCTTTGTATCATCTCTTGGTTTCCTTATAAACCCATTGCCTTCGAGTCAATCTCACCTCGTTGTGACCCTTTAGTACAGAGTAAAACTGCCCCACAGGGTTTCCAAGGCTGTAATCTTTACAGAAGCAGATGGCCACATTTTTCTCCCATTGAATGGCTGGTGGGTTCAAACTGCCGACCTTTCATTTAGCAGCCAAGCACTTAACCACTGCACCACCAGGGCTCTTATTTTCCTTATAGTATTTGTTAACATATGATTTATTTTTTATCTATCGTCATTCCCATTTTCAACTAGAATGTCAGTTCTATGAGGACAAAGACTTTCTGTTATTTACTGCTTAATTCACAGCACTAAGGATAATATGTGTCATATAGTAGGCATTAATCAGTATTTGTGGAATGAAGGAATAAATGAAGATAACCAATCTCAACCAGCCTCACTGTTTCTATGTAACTCGTAATATCTTTCATATTTTTTAAATCAGTTTTGGTGTTGTTAACCAGACACAATTACGGATTTTTCCTTACGTTTCAGGGAAGTTGGGAAAAAAGAATTTTGAAGAGTTTAAATAGCATGTGCACTGAACTCAGTATTCCACTGGCACGAAAGGTACTTCTAGAATTTCTCTGTTTTAAGCATTGTATTTAAAAAAAAGAACTAGAAAGTATCATGAAGTTGTAACTCTAAGTTAGGCAGATTTATCTTTTTTTATTAGTATGTCAGTTTGTTTTGAAACAAAAACCTGTAAGACCAATAATATAATGTGGATGCATTATATATAGATTTCTATTGTGTATGCTGTAATGCTTTTTGTAATAAGCCTGTATTTCTTGATAATAGATAGAAATAAAGTAAGACTCTACAGTGTTGATTATTCAAACATTTGACTGTAAAGTTTATGAGTACACTTTAAAGATTCTGATTACCTTTAGTGTCTTTACTTTTTGGCTAATTTAGCATTATAGCATATTCCATGGATGGAGATGGAGTAGAATCAGAGATGGAATTCAGATATACTATGATATTTTAATAGCCAATATGGTACCATTTTTTAGATATTAAAATAGGGATCGAAAGGAATGATTTGTCTCCTCTTTGCAGAACTGGAATTCTATTTAGATCTAATACTGAACATTTATCTGTCACTCTGGGCTTTGAGAGGGGAGAGATGGGAAAGGATAGAGAGGCTACTTAAGGGATGTTCTGGGTTCTTTATAGCTGCTCACAAGTAGGAGAGACAAGTTTGCCTTCACTTCATTCTTCCTACTTGCTATTTATTCCCTGCTGTAGGACAGACTATAGTGGATGTACTTTGGACAATATCAATATCCAAGGACAATATACCAGAGTCACCAGAAGAATGGTGTAAAAACAAGAGAAATTTATATGAAAAACTGTCTACAAGTGTAGTATTGTATAATATACTGTCTTTCATATAGGAAGATGATGCTACTGACTCACAGTCACACTCTCTTGGCCAGTCCCCCTTGTGATGCATTTCTGAGATTGCTGGATGGGGTAAGACATGTAGTGTGTGGCTGAGGAGCAGTTTTTCTTTGTGAAATTTACTGGCCAGTAAAGATCATTTATCTTCTTTTCTTGGACTCATTAGCCCCATATTCTAACTGAGCCATTGAGTTGAGATATAATGTAATAGTTAAATAATAATAATTGCAGTGTAATTCCAAAAAAAGTTCACTGTGTGTAATGAAATTGTTTTTTGCTTATGTTGTGGTAGTTTATTTAAACTTTTAGAAAAGTTATTCATTCTTGTTTTTCAGCTGCATTGCTAAACTTCATAAAATGAAACCAATTTTAAAATTACTTTTTTTAGAGACCAGTTGGAGAACAGAAAGAACTTCTCAATAAATGGAATGAAATGGGAACTGATGAACCAGGTATATAAAGAACATTTTTCAAAATCTAGTACTGGGAGAAGAATTGCCTTCTCAATTGTAGATCCAAAATAACAAAATTAACAATTCTTTTGGAAGGATAGCAACTTTCTGCTCCACTAATTTACTATCCTGTCTGTTGTTTGCTTAAACTTCTACTCTGCAGTTTTGCTATTATTTTGAGAGCATTTTAATCATTTATCCTTTTCTAAATCAGCATTTAGAAACATTTTTTATGAATGAAAATTTAGTTTATGCGTTGGATTTCTGAGACTTATAATTAAGATAATTTTTTTAGACTTTAATTACGTGGAGGTGTTAAAGATAGGTTTTGTAGTGAAACATAAGTTTCAGGAATTCTAAAATGTTTTTAAGAATTTATTTGGTTCATTTTAATGTTTAAAATCTAGTCAACTTTACAATCATATAATGATGCCAACCATATTTTACTTACTGTGATAAATAGATGTCTATTAATTGTATAGACATTTACATAACCCCTCACCACGCCTCCTCCACCACTGCTAAATATATATATATATATGTATATATATATATATATAAAATTAAAAAAAAATATATGTATAGTCAGTTGGTCAATAAATAAGTGCCACAGTAGAGGAAACAGTGTGTTATAGGAGTTCAAAAGGCAGAATAGTTCGATAAAATACAATGAGAGGACTTCATTAAGAATGCATTGTTTATATTCTGAGTACTTTGAGAATTGTCATACAGAATCTTTACATTACGTTTAACATTGTTTTGTTAATTCATTCATAACCTGTTGCAAATTTATCAACTCAACTCTTAATTACTTCTAGAATTATGTCATCTAGGATGTCAAGGGGAGTGACTGTTTTCATTTTTTGTGTCCCCAGTACTTAACACAATGTAGGACAAATAGTCGAGACTCAGCAAATGTTTAAATTAATCTATCTGCACAGAATCAATAACATTTATTATTAATAAGCCTACATATATTAACTGAAATTTTGTTTTGATGTATTTTATTAATTTTAGATTTAAGCCTTTTCAGACCTGTTTATGCACCTAAGGATTTTCTTGAGGTAAGTGCTACTGGATAAATATATGTATGTATATTAATAAGGAAATAAGAAATGATGATATTAGAGTATCTCCAGGCAGAGTCACTGAAGATTTTAAGCAGTGGAATAACATGATCAGATTTGTGTTTGGAAATTGCTTTTGGAAAAATAACATTGGAATGTGGAAAGATTAGAGGCAAGTAAATCAATTAGGGAGATTTTAATTGAAAAATAGTGACTGTAAATCCTATAGCCTGCTGCCTGGCACATAGAGGTGTTCAGAATAAGCCATTCTTCTGGTATCCAATGACTTCCCATCTTATTTATTCTACTAGAAAGCCAAAGTTATGACCAAAACTTACTGCTGTCGAGTTGATTCCAACCCACAGCAACCCTAGAGGACAGAGTAGAACTGCCCCATAGGGTTTCCAAGGAGTGGCTGGTGGATTTGAACTGCTGACCTTTGGTTAGCAGCTATATCACTTAACCAGTGTGACACTAGGGCTCCAAAGTTATGACAGTGGCCTAAAACACCCTATTTGATCTGATACTCAATTACCTCTCATACTTCATATCCTATTACTTTCCTCCTGATTCGTTCTATCCCAGCCACGTTAGGCTTCTTGCTTTCCTTGGCTTCCTCCCATATGAAGGTCCTTGCTTTTTGTTTTTTCTGCCTTGTAGTTCTTTACCTGCCTACATGTCCCCTCACTCCTTATGCCTTTTCTTAAATGTCACCTTCTCAGCAAGGCCCTCTCCCCCTATTTGGAGCTCCTTATACCCCTTTTGTGCTTTTTCTCCATAGCATTTGTACATTTTATTTTGCTTATTTCCAGTCTTCTCTATTAGAATAGATGCTCTACAGGGGCAAGAGCTCTTTTATTCACTCCTGCAATAATTACACAAGGTCAGATAACTGAAAAGACTCACAAGATTTCACAGGTATAGCCACATGGAGTTGCCATGAGTCAGAATGGACTCGATGGTAACTAACAACCCGTATCGGGCTTGTTTTGAGCAAGAAAAAGAAAGCACATGCAAACGCAAAGAGATCTGAACTTCCAAGTGTAGCATCCACGGCCCTTTCTTAGTTGCACAGGAAGCACTTTATCTTGAGGTTGTGAACAGCGAAGATACATTTGAGATACTTGGTCCTAGGAGCCAAGGCACGAGATTTCTGAAGGATCTTTTATACCCCACTGATTACTTCAGTTGTAAGCCATCAATTTACACATTTCAATAAACATTGTAAGCAGCCTGGTGTGGGTACCACCAGGGGAGTTTTGAACTTTAAATAGCACATTATAAATGATTAGCTAGTATGTTTCATTCTTATCTTGACCAAGAGTCACTACTCGCTACCAGACTTCTAGGTATCCCTGAATATAAGCATAGAGCTACCGGAAACCAGCTGCAATTTAACCCTATCCTTAACTGCTGTATCCCAACAGGTAGAACAGTGCTTGGTGCATAGTTAGTTGCTCAATAAATACTTGTTGCATAAATGAGTAAACGAATGAATGAAATCTTTCAAATTTTACTTTTATCTCTTTCCTGAACCTCTTGTCTCTGATACCAGTTTTACCAGCATAAACTTTGCTAGAAATTATTTCAGACCTTTTGAGGTTGTAGTTAGTCTCATTATAATGTTGATGAGAAGTTAGTTTGGTCAGCAACTGCCTTTATGGATGGCTTTGTTTCTCTTAGCTTATTAAAGATTTCTCCCAAGCTCTTCTCTTTTCTAGTATTTAAGGAATAAATTTCATGTAATTCTTAAATGATCATCTTTATGTTTTCTCTTTAATAGCTTATAACATCTGTCTCTTTGAGGACTGTTGCAGAATGAATCCTTTTATTATTCACACTGAGATTCTCCTTTAAATCAAGAACCATTTTCTATAATTATTTCTGTGATTATAGTTTCTGCATTACTAATATTTCTCTTTCATGTTATGTGTACAGTCAGTTTCTTCTCCTTTTTCTATTTTTTATATTTGTGAGTTTCCTGTATAATTAGACTATTACTTGTGTAATTAGGCTAAAATTGTCCTGTTCTGTGTTAGTCTGTATTAAACACTGTCGATTCTCTGCTAAGTCTTTAAAAAAAATTGATATTTTTAGTTTCAGTATAGTGTATGCAATTTTAGGAAAATCATTTGGCATTATAACACATTTTATTTTATCAGCCATTAGTTATCATCAGTTCATGAATGTGGTCTTCATATATGATAGTGTTTTGGTCATTATCATTTACTTTACTGGATTCTTGATGATTTCCTTTGTCCCTCAAGAGTTTCAGTTTAATAATATTTTTTAAATGTTTTTTTTCCAGAAAAACGCATGTTAACTATTAGAAAAATAAGAAAATATACATAAGGAGAAAATTTTAAAGAAAATTTACCCACAATGCTATCACACAGCCATAACCACTATAGTTGCTATATATATTTTTTAATTTAATAATGTATTGTAGAATTTTTTATGTCACTACCTACATCGCATATATAAATGGAGGCATATTATACTGTATTATATGAATTAGCCATAATTTTGTTTAAATAATTCCCTCTGCTGGGATATTTAAGTTGTTTCATATTTTTCCGTTATAAACAGTACTTCATTAACATTCTTTCTGTACTATCTTTGCAAACATCTTTAATTATTTCCTTGGTACCATATTCCATAGAACCAATTATAGAAGTGAGATTTCTAGGCTAAAGGAGATGAAAATATTTAACACTTCTTTATTTGCTTATTTTTGGAAAATTATGTAAATAGTCTTACTTGTTAGCTTTGCTTCTAAAATTTCTTTTATTTCTTGTCAGTTACATTCAGAGAGATACCCTGCAATGTTACTCCACCGTCTTTCTCAAAGTCTTGTTGATTTTTTTTTTTTTAAAGGTTAGAGTTGGGTTTAACATTTTGCCTGGTAAATATTACAATCAAGCAATATTATATATTTGTATAACTTCCCTGGTGAAATATTATAATCAAGCAATTTTTATTTTTTTCTTACCATCAAATGTTCTTATTTCTAACTTAATTCTTACCTTTTTAGAGATTTTATATGGTAGATCATCAGTTGGGAATATTAAAATCATCCTAATTAAAAGTATGTTTATAGTATTATATGTTAACATTTTAATACAACTTTATGCTGTTTTAGAATGTAATTAAAGTATATCCATAACCTCAAATAGTTTTTCACCTTGTGGTGATACACCAAGAACACCACTGTAAGTGTAAACATAGTATAAAGAAACTAACCAATTTTGTTGGATTTGTTTTTAAAGGTATTAATTAATCTTCGCAACCCAAATTATGAAAATGGTGATTCTCTTAGTTTCAGGACTCATTTGGGTTTAATCCAAGTTCCTCTGAAAGTAAAAGACATCCCTGAATTGGTAAGTAAGAGAAATTTAAACATAAGCTAACATATCAGGAATGAATATATAATTATATTGGGATGACAGAGGAAGGGAAAGAAAATAAACATGAGCTAAAATCCTCATTTATTATATAAAGTCAATAGATAATACCTGAAACTGGTCAATTAAGAAATTACAATATACCTTAGTTACTTGGAAATATGAAGCTACCAGAAGAAAAAGCTAAAAGTGGTTTGTCTCTGGGTAGTGGGCCAGTTATGATTGTGTGTGTGTGTATGTGTGTGTGTGTATTGGGGAAGAGGGTATAAGATAGGAAATTGCTGTTTTGTTGTTGGTATAAGTCTTTTAGCTGATTCGACTTAAACTGTTTGCTGCATGTAAAGGCAGAATAGCGTTATGGTAAGGTGACTAGACTCTGAAGCCAGTCAAAAACCTGTTGCCATCAAGTTGATTCTGACTCATAACAACCCTGTGGGACAGAGTAGAACTGCCCTATAGGGTTTCCAAGGAGCAACTGGTGGATTCGAACTGACAATGTTTTGGTTAGCAGCCAAACACTTAACCCCTGTGCCCCTTAACCAGGGCCCCTGAAGCCAGTCAGCCTGGGTTTAAATCTTGGCTCTGCCACTTACTGGCTATGTGACCTTGGTGAATTATTTGTCTTCCTTGTGCCTTAGTTTCTTCATCTGTAAAATAGGGATAATGATAATACCACATATGAGTGTTGTATAAATCAAAGAAATTAAGATACGTAAAACATGTAGAATGGTACTTGGAACATTGTACACAGTATATAGCTACTACAACTTTGATAAAATTAACTTCTAAAAAGTTATCTTAAAAAAGTGTTTGAAGTCTCATTAGAGGTTTGTACAAAGTGCTATGGCTGTACAGAAGAGTAAGTGGCAGTCTTCTGAAAGTGGTGGGGAAGTCTTCTCAGAGTTACTGCCATTTGCTCTGGGTCTGGAATAATGATAACGAGTTTGCTAGGTAAAGAAGTAGGGAAAGGATAATGTAGGAAAAGGTTTGGTGTGTGCATGAGTGGGACTAATCATACCTCTGTCTGACTCTCTGAGAGGGACTTTTGAGCTGATGTGGATGCATTCTTAGCTATTGGAGAACCAAAAGCCTGTGACTGATTTTCAAGGAATCCTTGCTATACCTGCAAAGAGTCTGATTAGTTCTTCTCTTCCTGCAGTCATTAGGGATGGTTGTCCCTGCCTTCCCTGCATCATGTGGCCTTGCCATTCAATGATTCTGACTCCAGAATGCATAGTCTGTCTTTGACCCTGATCTGTCAATACGAGTATTTAACTTGGTGAGGTTCAGTGAGTTCTGTGATCCTACAATGGATGGCCATTAAACCTAGTTCATAATGTTATGTGGATTAGTCCATGTTAAAGGGAAATGTGTTGAAACTAAAATTCATTAAAGTGAAGTTGCTGACTAATTCCTATTTACTAATTTAGTTACATGGAGGCCGCAGATTGGGACTAGAACTCAGTAGTGTGGTTCAATATTTATTGAGCCCTTCTGCTACCTGTCAGGCGCTATGTTAAGTACTGGGGGTGAGGGGTGGATTATCCAATAAGCAAGGTAAACACAGGCTTGCTTGTGCTTACTTACTAACCTTAATGAGCAATTTCCCACCAATTGTTCACTACAGATGAGTAAGTAAGCGCAGTTAAGCCCTTGCTTACCTTGCTTACTGGATCATCCACTCCTGTCAGGGATTGTAAATTTGAAAAGAGGCTTTTATTCTGTAGAAAGGTGCTGTGGGGTTGGGAGAGAGACAGATGCCAGCAATACCTAGAAGCAGAATCTTTGTTGTGGTGAAAAAATGTGAAATTGTTCATTACATACAATCTGGTAGGCAAGGTAAGCCCCGTGCTTACCTTGTTTATTGGATAATCTGACCCTGCTAGGGGTGCAAATACGTATAAGAGAAAGTCCTTGTTTTCCAAGAGCTTCAGGCTGGTGGGAAGAAGGACAGTAAAAAGATAATTTCGATATGGTTATGATATATGTGGTGATACGTGAGCTTAGAAAGTTGCTTGTATCAGCCTGGACTATTAAGGAAGACTTCCCAGAAGGCATGATGCTCCCAGAAAGGCACGATGTCTTGGGTGAGTTTTGAAGGAAATCTGAGATTAAGGCCCAGGTCTACTGACTTTGAATGAAAAATAGTCCAGAACAATGAAGTAGAAGATGGATTATCAGAGTTCTGCTTATGCACCTTAACATGTCTTAGCACAAGGAAAATTCTCCATCTTGAGTACAGAACCTAATAGTGAAATGTTTATTGGACCTAAGTTTAACCCTTCTGTAGTATGAAGATAAAGCTTATTGGGGAAAAAATAAATCTCTTTAGTCATTAAAAATTGGTAACATAGGATGCAGTACTTTTTATAAAAATAAAAAATCAAGTTTAGTTAAAAAATCGAAACAGCGCTGGCTATTTAAAATCAGTACAAAAATGTAATGTGTGAAACGATAACTGTCTCATGAGGTACATTAATAAATCACTGACTTCAATAATAACAGATAATTGGGAAGGATTAAAAACTAATCCCATTTTTTTAAAGAGAAGGAAGTAGGGTTTTACCAAGTAGAATAGTAACGAAACACTGAGGCAAATATTAATAGAAATATTTAATTACTTAGGGAATAAAAATAATGTGAATAATGTGGGCCTTGTATATATTTTAAAAATACCAGACACCATGATTACTTTCTGTAGACATTACTAGATAAGGAGAGGAAGTCTGGAGAATAAATCTAATCTATCCTAATTTTAGCAGAGTATTTGATAGCCCAATTTTACTTAAAAATTGTCTTGGATATTTGCAGTGTTTAGTTTATTAAGAGCTAAATGAAATACAGTACAATAGAAAGCACAGATAAAGAATTATATTGGTAATTTTAGACAATGATTTTAGGAGATAAAATTGATAAATGCTGCATATAGTATAGGAGCCCTGGTGGTACAGTGGTTAAGCACTCAGCAGTTTGAACCCACTAGCCACTCCACAGGAGAAGATGTGGCAGTCTGCTTCTGTAAAGATTTATAGCCTCGGAAACTCTATGGAGCAGTTCTGCTGTGTCCTGTTGGGTCACTATGAGTCAGAATTGACTCGACAGCAGTGGGTACATATACTGTGTGTGTATGTGCATGTACACATGTACGTGTGTGTGTTTCAGGAAAGGATTGAATGTTACAGTTCTTTATTCAAAAGGACAGTTAATCCTTACCTTATTGATAAGGTGCATCTGCCACAATAAGGGACTACATAAAAAATAATTTTTTAAGTGATGGCAGTACTCATACTGGTCAGAAGGCATCAAAGTAAAAACTTTTCTTAAGTAGGGAAAATTAGGGGAAAGAAAGATAACACTAACGGCTCTACAGTCAGAGAACTATTTTATTTTTAAGTTTCTTTTCCCCTTATATATTTTAGTTTTTCCTAAAAGCTTATATCTTTCCCATTCATGCTTATTTCACATGAAAACAATAAGGGTTACACAGTATACCTGTAGTGAAAAGAATCATGATCATTCCTCTCCTGACTTGTAGACTATTGTATTACTAACTAGATGTTTAAAATGCCCTTTTCTTTTTCAGATATTTGAATGAAGCAAAGACTTATTTTACCTTGTGATTTTTACTTAAGCTGATGCTTAGGTGAAGGTGATTTTTAATGTATAGAAAAGCCTGTGGTGTATGTTAATTCTGTATATGTTATTTTTCAGAAAGAATTCTTCGTAGAACTCAGCTTAAATACAGGACAACTGGGTATAGATGATTCTACACAAGTGCCTCCTGGTTAGTATTTCAACCATATGGCATATAATTAATGATGAAGAAAGTGAGTTTAAGGTTTGTCTTGCCATTTCCAAATTAATCTAGTATCCTTTTTATATTTGAAAACTAAGTATGCTTTTTGCCTCTTGTTGGGTTATTATCGATCATGTAATAAAATCCTGTATGTTGTAATTATCAGAGTTGGGCTGGATTTATAAGTATTTTAGTTTGAAGGTCTTTAAAATAACTTTCAAAAGTTATTAGACATACAGAAATCATTTTGTTGGCAAAATCTTCATTGGCAACACTCATAATTTCCCTCTACTGGCCACCACTATTTTTATTATTTTTTGTATCACTAAGTTAAATGAACTCTGGCATCAACCTCGAGTAAATGTAGGTTTTAAAATTAGCATCTTTTAGATTAGACTTACTGGCCTGACAGAGACTGGAGAAACCCCAAGAGTTTAGTCCCCAGACACCCTTTTAACTCAGTAATGAAGTCACTCCCAGGGTTCACCCTTCAGCCAGAGATTACACAGGCCCATAAAACAAAATGAGACTAATGGGGCACAACAGTCCAGGGACAAGGACTAGAAGGCAGGAGGGGAAAGGAAAGCTGGTAATAGGGGAACCCAAGGTTGAGAAAGGAGTGTGGTGACATGTCATGGGGTGGTTAACCAATGTCATAAAACAATATGTGTACTAACTGTTTAATCAGAAACTATTTGTCTTGTAAACCTTCATCTAAAGTACAATAAAAAATAAGATTAGTCTTTTAAACCCTAAGTATCTAGATAATTTCCCTGATTTTTTTCTTTCTTTCTTTCTTTTTTTTTTGCATAGTAAAAGACAAGGTTGGTATATAGTTATCATAAAAAGGAAGTAAAAATTGAATTAGAATATGGGAGGCCTATATTGTAGAGTTTGGGAGGCCAAGAAAAGGGGCTAGGGGGATGTTCCAGTCTTCCCTCTGCAATTGACTGTAATTTGGACAAGTAACTTTATATCTCTGGGTCTGTTTCCTCCTCTATAAAATAAGGGAGTTAGCACTATATTAATAACATTATAAATGATAGTTAACAGTATCAATAATTGACAGTATCAGTAGTTAACAGTATCAAGTTATTGATCACATATTATATGTTACATGTGAATTTTCTCATTTTAACCTCTCAGAACTCTAAGAAGTATGTATTGTTACCATTTTAAAAAACTTCATTGATGTATAATGCATATTTTTTTATTGTACTTTATTTAAAAAAATTTTTTTTATTGTACTTTAGATGAAGGTTTACAGAACAAACTAGCTTCTCATTAAACAGTCAGTACATATATTGTTTTATGACATCGGTTAACAGCCCCGCTAAGTGTCAACACTATCCCTTCTTGATCTTGGGTTCCCTATTACCAGCTTTCCAGTCCCCTCCTGCCTTCTAGTCCTTGTCCCTGGGCTGTTGTGCCACCATTAATCTCATTTTGTTTTATGGGGCTGTCTAATCTTTGCCTAAAAGGTGAGCCTCAGGAGTGACTTCATTACTGAGCTGAAAGGTTGTCTGGGGGCCATACTCCCGGGGCTTCTCCAGTCTCTGTCAGGCTAGTAAGTCTGGTCTTTTTTATGAGTTAGAATTTTGTTCTACATTTTTCTCCAGCTCTGTCCAGGACCTTCTGTTGTGATCCCTGTCACAGCAGTCAGTGGTGGTAGGCGGGCACCATCTAGTTGTACTGGACTCAGTCTGGTGGAGGCTGTGGTAGTTGTGGTCCATTTGTCCTTTGGACTGATCTTTCCCTTGTATTTTGTTTTATTCCTTCTCCCTTGCTCCTGAAGGGGTGAGACCAGTGGAGTATCTTAGATGGCCTCTCACAGGCTTTTAAGACCCCAGACGCTACTCACCAAAGTAGAATGTAGAGCATTTTCTTTATAAACTATGTTATGCCAGTTGAGCTAGATGTTCCCCGAAACCATGGTCCCCACAGCCCTCTGCCCAGCAGTTCAGTCCCTCAGGGAGTTTGGATGTGTCCATGGAGCTTCCGTGACCTTTCCTTGTACAAGTTGTGCTGCTTCCCCAGTATTGTGTACTGTCTTACCCTTCACCAAAGTTACCACTTGTCTATTTAGTATGTAACCATCAAAGATTGTTTTTTTTGTGTGTAAACGTTTTCATGAATTTTTACAGTAGTGGTGTCATACAATATTTGTCCTTTTGTGATTGACTTATTTCACTCAGCATAATGTCCTCCAGTTTCATCCATGTTATGAGATACTTCGCAGATTCATCATTGTTCTTTATCATTGTTTATACTCCATTGTATGTACCATAGTTTGTTTATCCGTTCATCTGTTGATGGGCATCTAGGTTGTTTCCATCTCTTTGCTGTTGTGAACAATGCTGCAGTGAACATGGATGTGCATATGTCTATTCGTGTGATGGCTCTTATTTCTCTAGGATATATTCTTAGGAGTGGGATTGCTGGATCGTATGGTATTTCTATTGCTAGCTTTCTAAGGAGGTGTCATATTGTTTTCCAAAATGGTTGTATCATTTTGCATTCCCACCAGCAGTACATAAAACTTCCAATCTCCCCACAGCCTCTCCAACATTTGTTATTTCTGGTCTTTTTGTTACGTGCCAGTAATGCTGAGGTGAGATGGTATCTCATTGTGGTTTTGATTTGCATTTCTCTAATGGCTAGTGATTGTAAGCATTTCCTCATGTCTGTTAGCTGCTGTAATGTCTACTTTGGTGAAGTGTCTGTTCATTTCCTCTGCCCATTTTTTAATTGGATTATTTATCTTTTTGTTGTAGAGGTGTTGGATTTTCCTGTAGATTATAGAGATTAAACCTCTCTTGGATTTGTAATAGCCAAAAACCACTGAGCCATATTTGATAAGAACTCCAAAGTGCCTGGCATGAGCATTCTGGTTAGAAGAAAAGCAAGTACCAAGATGGCTGCCAGATTGCCAGGCAGCTTATTTATTTACTGAGTCACATGTAAGTTCATAACCTTTAACTCACAGTGATCCCATTTATTAGAAAAGATTGTCTAATTACTGTGCTGGAATCTCACATATCCAGTGAGCAGCTCCTCCCTTCTAAGGAGGTGAGGAGGAGTTGGGAAGGAAGGTGAGAAACTGATATTCTCTGGAATGGGGAGAAGAACTAAATGTTTTCTCCCTCATGGCTTCATAATCTTTTTATTTTTTTTAATTTTTAAGTAACTGTTATAGAAATATAACACACACACTGAAAAGTGCACACATCTTAAGTGTACAGATCAGTGAATTTTTACAAAGTGAACATATTTCTGTAACTTCCAACCACATCAAGAAAAAGAATATTACCAACATCCCAGAAACTCCCTCAGACACACTTCCATACTCTTCTACTTCTCATGTAACTGCTGTCCTGACTTCTAACATCATAGATTGATTAGTTTTGTCTATTTTTGAAACTTATAAAAATGGATCATACAGTGTGTACTCTTTTGTGTCTGACCTCTTTTGCTTAATATTGTTTATGAAGTCTGTAGTGTTGTGTGTAGTTATAAATCATCTGTTCTCATTGCTGTATTGATATCCATTGTATGAATATACCACAATTTCTCCATTCTACTGTTGATTCTAGTGTTTCCACTATTTGGTTATTACCAATAATGCTGCTATGAATATTCTTGTACATGTATCTTGGTTTGTATATGGTATATTTCTGAAGGGTATATGCTAAAGAGTTATTGGATATGCATATATTTGGAAGTCCCTGGGTGGCTCAGACAGTTAAGCACTCAACTACTAGCCAAAAGGTTGGTGGTTCAAACCCACCCAGAGGTGCTTCCAAAGACAGGCCTGGTAATCTGCTTTCAAAAGGTCACAGCCTTCAAAACCTGTGGAGCAGATCTGCTGTACACATATGGGGTCACCACAGTTGAAATTGACTCCATCTTAACTAACAACAATATGCATATGTTAAGCATATGTTCAGCATTAGTAGATATTGCCAAATAGTTTTTCAAAATGGTTGTACTAATATACACTCCCACCAGCTTGTATGAGAGGTCTATTTCCTCCATATTCTTTGCATTTAGAATTGTTGGTCTTTTTCATTTGTAACCATTGTGGTGTGTATTTCTTAATGGTTTTAATTGCATTTGCCTCATGCCTAATGTGCTTGAGCACCTTTTCATATACTTATTGACTGGCCCTTGGGATCTCCTCTTTTGTGAAGAACCTGTTCTAGTCTTTTGCCTATTTGTGTAAGACAGTCGTCTGTCTGTTTTGTTTACTTACCAGGATAGGGGTTCTTTGCTGGCTATATCTTCTCCCACTCTGTGGCTTATTTTTCACTCTCTTAATGGTGTCTTTTGATGAACATTAGTTGTTTTTATTTTAAATATGGTCTAGTTTGTGAATCTTTTGCCAGTATGATTGGTACATAATAAAAAAAAAAAAAAAATTAACCTCCCCAGGTAATCTTAAAATGGCGTTTGTATAATGAGATTTTATCTATATAGTATTAAGCTTTTGCTAAATATACTTTAATGGTAGGTTAGAGAGGAGGTGGGGCTTTGCAAATGAAACTGTCAACAAGTTTTGATCTTTTTTTTATTAAAAGAAAAAAATGAAAGATGTTGGACACAGAAGGATTGTTGTGTTAGGAGAAGATACTCTGTTTTATTTTAATTAGAAGGAAAATTGGTTTATCAATTTTTTCTTCTTATTAACTTACTTGACTCTCTTTTACTTGCTATAAATTTTAAACAGCTTAGAAAATTTTTTTTTCTACATATAAAGATAAATATTCTTCTAGTTTTTTATAGTGCCATTCAGCTTTAAAAATACTTTAAAGTATCAATACTAGAAAAAAATGTATCTGAGATTGTGTGTACAAATATGTAGCTGATCATATTTGTGCCTAATAATTTTATTTTCTTTTAACATTTTTAGAACTTTTTGAAAATGAGCATGTACGTATAGGGCAAAAAGGTAAGCTTTTGATTGTTTTAATTATAATTTCTGAAAAATTGTATAATCATAAGTAAATGTTTGTATCGTATACCCTGAACTTAACTTTAATCTCTGAAAAGGTAAAAACTTAAACAAGAATAATATTTAACCATGTAGATAACATAATGGGTCCCTTTATACGGAGGGGAAATGCATCATGTAGGCTTTATCAATAAATGTTAGATACAAAAATACACAGCTGGTTCACTGAAAAGGAAATAATAAATTCAGATACACATTCCTTAGGAATGGCTAGCTTAATCCATTCAGCAATAGAATTTAATTTTAAAATCAAAGAGGCAGGCTTTCTGTTTGATGTACCCACACGCTTCTCGTTAGCGTTAATGGGAATATGCTCCTGCGTGAGGAGAAAATGTAACTGTCTGCTTCCTGATGACTGTTCACAATGGTAAAACTTAATAGTTAATGCAGCTTTTAGTGTTTTGTGGAATAATATTTCCCTATCGCTTGAAGATTTTTTTCCCTTGTTTTATAACTCCTATTTTGTCTTTGAAATATGAAGTGCAGATAAGTCTTTGTGTCAGAATGAACCTTCTATGGCAATTATACTGTCAGTTGCCAAGCTGCCTAGTTCAATTTTTCAAAATTGTATTTATTTAAAAGATTTCATTTGTATGATGTAACTCTTTCGCTAAATACAACCGCAAATTAAAGAATATGTTTCATCACTTTTATTTAATATGGTCCCTTTGTTTCTTCTGGTCATGTCTTTTTCATTTAGTGCAAGTTATTTTCCCTTGGTTTTTAAGAAGAAAACAGTTCTGTTAGACAAACATCAGCAGTTGTCTTGCCTGCCTTTCTTTCCTCCTTTCTTTCTTTCCTGTCTTTATTTCCAGTTTAAATAGCTGATGTTTTCATTAAAGGAAATGAAAATGAAGGCAAAAGGATAATGTGTTAATTTTGTGAACTTGGCTGCTTAAGAATAATTTTTGGCTTTCTTTAAAACTTATCAGATCTTTTTTGTTTTTATGTCTTTCAAAAATCCCTATTTCTGTTAATTTAGGTAGTTGGCTAATAAGCCATTTAATAGAATGGACATCTTAATTCTGTATACATTATAATAATTTGTAGACATTATACTTCACATACAATACTACTTCCACGTACTAGAATATTCATGGATTAGTAGAATATGCTTAAGAACTTTGGGGTTTTGTAGATGTGACTTCACTTGATCATGGAATCCAAAAATTATCCATATATACATCACTAATTTCAGATCCATGGGCTATAGTTAAAGTAAACTCAAGGTACCTACATTAAAAAGCTTTTATCAGACTAGGTAGAAGATAGAAGAGCTTAAGGCTTGAAACTTGTAAGACTGTAAATAGGGCCACATCAAAATTCAGAGAATAAAAAAAGAGTTGTCAAGAAATGATGTAATTATGTTAGCTATGAAGACTAAATGTTAGTTTCCCAAGAGAGTTTTAATTAAACATTTTAGTGTTATTTTTACTTCACAGATTTTCTAATGAGATTTTAATATGTTTCTGACAGTTCTAGAAGAACAAGATAGTGCTGCTGCTCAACAGTATATCAGACAAGGAAGTCCCACAGCACTGAGAGCTGAATTGTGGACTCTCATTTTGAATATTTCCGGTCAATCTGAGGTAAGGAGAAAAAAGGATGGGTCAAATATGAGCTATTGATGTTTATTTTTCAAAGATCAGTTATTCAAAATAGATATACATTTGTTTCTTAGTTTAGTATTTACCCCCTTTCATATTTTCAAATTCACTGTAGTTTTGGGTTCTAAGACAAGATTACCATATAATTTAATTACTGTGTGCTTGACAAAATTTTTTGTTATTAATAATTCATTACATTGTGTGAATTTATATGCACAACAGAACAATAAGTAAAAGTTTGAAAAATGGAGTCTGACAATTTAGAACAGTGAAAATTGATGGTAGAACTGGGACGGTAGAATAGGCAGAAATAAAGAGGGACAATTCAGTATATGTGAATGAATACTTTGTCCCTCCAGTTACTTTGAAATATACATTATTCTTATGGTTCTAAAAATTGGCAGATTTTGTGGGTTATTTTCTCTAAGTATAAGAACATTTTATTCTAGGAAATAAACTGAATATGAAGAGAAATCTCCAACAGAAAAGTAATACATTCAATAAAGAAAAATTACATAAGACATCGATTCCTTTTGAAGTATTCTTAGTGGGGATTTCTTTTTTTAGATTAAGCCCAATAATCATATAAGTCATCCATTTAAAAAAATTTAAATAATTTCAAATTAATAGTTAACTAGCCTAGTGGTTAAAAGCATCAGTTTTTGAATCCTATAGGCCTGGTTTCGACTAACTCCCCCAGCTTACTAGAAATATGTCATTGAGCAAGTTAGTTAAATTTCTTCAAACTTCAGTTTACCAATACTTAAATATAGGTAATAATATTTACAGCACAGACTTATTGTGAGAATTAAATACAATAATTTATGTTAGTCTTTTAACATAGTGCCTGGTACATAAATGATCACCATTAATGATAGTAATTGTAGTAATTATATATTATATGCAATTATGTTATAAATTAACTATAATTTATAATGATGCAGTTTTTAAGAAAATCAGGCAATTCTTACAATCTATTATGAAAACTATACCTCTAACCTTTGCAAATTATGTATCCGTATGTGCGTATATGTGTTTTAAATCTGCTTCTGTGAACAGTACTGTCCAAATCACTTGCTTCCTTATAGAAAAAAAATAAAGCTTGTGATTTATGTGAGAGAAGTTTTAGACCAAATGATAACATTGATCTTTGGTGGTGGCATTTTAGAAGAAACCGTTTAGAGAGTGTATATTGAGCATTTATGAAGGAGTCCTTGAGTGGCACAAATGGTTAAGCACTTGGTTACTAACTGAAACATTTGCAGTTTGAACCCACTCAGAGGCTCCTTGGAAGAAAAGCCTAGTGATATGCTTCCAAAAGGTCACAACCATGAAAACCCTATAGAGCGCAGTTCTACTCTGCAACATATGGAGTTGCCAAGGGTCAGAATCAACTCAACAGCAACTGGTTTGTTTTTTTGGTTTGGGGCCCTTGTGAATGTATCAATGCTTGCAGAAGAGGATGTAAGTCTTCTGCCTTTCCCATCTAACTTGTAGTTGATCTACCACTTTTGCTGTTTGGGAGTTAGATTAATAAATCCTATCTCTTTGTAGAGGAACTAATGCCATTTCAAAAACAAATTTAAAAATTTTCCAAAAATATTATCCTAGAGTAAAAGTAGTGATCTCAGATAATGATAGTTTATTACAATGTTCAAAGGTGATTTTTACACTGAATTTTGGAGCTGGTAGTTATCTTCATTTTCTAAATACAAAGTAACAAGTCTATTCAATATTGGTAAACGAAATTAATATTTTTAGAAAAGCGATCTTGGTTTTATTGAAGAAAATACTGCCCATCACTTACACTTACTCTAAGCTGTAAAATCAGTGACCTCAAAGACTTATAGCAGTTCCAAAATAATTGTGTGTAGGTGGTATAGTAGAGGGAGAAAGAGAAAAGAGGGAGTGGGTGGAGAAAATCCTTCTGATCACGATTACTTAATCAAAACTTTTTGTTCAGTTATTTTTCAATTGCTTAAAATAAATTACACATATAATTGCAATCATAGTTGAGAAGTTAGAGACATAAACAGGATATTTCACATTTCACACCTGTAAAGCCATTCTTCGTTTTTTTTAATTGTTGCACTTTAAGTTTACAATTCAAGTTAGACTGTCATACAAATGTTTATACATACATTGTTTTGTGACCCTACTTGCTCTCCCTATACTGTGACAGCACACTCTTCTTTCCACCCTGGATTTCCTGTGTCCATTCAACCAGCTCCTGACCCTCTCTGCCTTCTCATCTCGCCTCTGGACAGGAGCTGTCCAGTTATTCTCATGTATCTACTTGAGCTAAGAAGCACACTCTTCACGAGTATCATTTTATGTCCCATAGTCCAGTCTAATCTTTGTCTGAAGAGTTAGCCTTGCGAATGGTTTTAGTTTTGGACTAACAGAGAGTCCGAGGGCTGTGTCTTCCGGGGTCACTTCAGTCTCAATCAAACCATTAAGTCTGGACTTTTTACTAGAAATTGAGTTCTGCACCCCACTTTTCTCCTGCTTCATCAGGGACTCTCTGTTGTGTTCCCTGTCAGGGCAGTCATTGGTGGTAGCCGGGCACCATCTAGTTCTTCCGGTCTCAGGCTGATGAAGTCTTAGGTTTATATGGCACTTTCTGTCTCTTGGGCTAATACTTTCCTTGTGTCCATGGTTTTCTTCGTTCTCCTTTACTCCAGGTGGGTTGGAACCAATTGATGCGTCTTAGATGGCCGCTTGTAAGCTTTTAAGACCCCAGACGCCACTCACCAAAGTGGGATGCAAAACATTTTCTTAAAAACTTTTTATGCCAATTGACCTAGATGTCCCCTGAAACCATGGTCCCCAGACCCCTGCCCCTGCTACTCTGTCCCTTGAAGTGTTTGGTTGTATTCAGGATACTTCTTAGCTTTGGTTTAGTCCAGTTGTGCTGACTCCCCCTGTAGTGTGTGTTGTCCTTCCCTTCACCTAAGATAATTCTTGTCTACTTTCTAGTTAGTGAATAACCCTCTCCCTCCCTGCCCACTCTCATAACCATCAAAGAATGTTTTCTTCTGTGTTTAAACCTTTTCTTGAGTTCTTATAATAGTGGTCTTATACAATATTTGTCCTTTTGCGAGTAAGTTCACTCAGCATAATACCTTCCAGATTCCTCCATGTTGTAAGATGTTTCATGGATTCATCGTTGTTCTTTATTGTTGCATAGTATTCCATTGTGTGAATATACCATAATTTGTTTATTCATTTGTCCATAGATGGGCACCTAGGTTGTTTCCATCTTTTTGCTTTCGTGAATAATACTGCAGTGAACATGGGTGTGTGTATATCTGTTTATGTGATGGCTCTTAATTCTCTAGGATATATTCCAAGGAGTAGACTTGCTGGATCGTATGGTACTTCTATTTCTAGCTTTTTAAGGAAGCACCAAATCTATTTCCAAAGTGGTTGTACGATTTTGTATTCCCACCAACAGTGTATAAGTGTTCCAGTCTCTCCACAACCTCTCCAACATCTGTTATTTGGTGTTTTTTGGATTAATGCTAGCCTTGTTAGGGTGAGATGGTATCTCATTGTAGTTTTGATTTGCATTTGTCTAATGGCTAATGATCGTGAACATTTCCTCATTTGTCTGTTAGCCACCTGAATGTCTTCTTTGGCAAAGTGCCTGTTCATATTCTTTGCCCATTTTTTAATTGGGTTGTTTGTCTTTTTGTTGTTGAGGTTTTGCAGTATCTTGTAGATTTTAGAGATTAGACACTGATTGGATTTGTCATAGCCAAATTTTTTTTCCCAGTCTGTAGGTTGTCTTTTGACTCTTTTGGTGAAGTATTTTGATGAACGTAAGTGTTTTATTTTTAGGAGCTCCCAGTTATCTAGTTTCTCTTCTGGTGTCTGTGCATTGTTACTTCTGGTTCATATTCTGTTTATGCCATATATTAGGGCTCCTAGCGTTGTCCCTATTTTTTCTTCCATGATCTTTATCATTTTGATTTTATATTTAGGTCTTTGATCCATTTTGAGTTAGTTTTTGTGCATGGTGTGAGGTACGGGCCTTGTTTCAATTTTTTGCGGATGGATAGCCAGTTATGCCAGCACCATTTGTTAAAGAGACTGTCTTTTCCCCAGTTAATGGACTTTGGGCCTTTGTCAAATATCAGCTGCTCATAGGTGGATGAATTTACGTCTGGATTCTCAGTTCTGTTCCATTGGTCTATGTATCTGTTGTTGTACCAGTATTAGGCTGCTTTGACTACAGTGGTGGTATAATAGGTTCTAAAATCAGGTAGTGTGAGGCCTCCCACTTTGTTCATCTTCTTGAGTAATCACTTACTTATCCGAGGCCTCTTTCCTTTCCATATGAAGTTGATGATTTGTTTCTCCATCTGATTAAAAAATGCCATTGGAATTTGGATCGGGATTGCATTGCATCTGTAGATCGCTTTGGGTAGAACTGACATTTTCACAATGTTGAGTCTTCCTATCCATGAGCAAGGTATGTTTTTCCACTTATGCAGGTCTCTTGGTTTCTTCCAGTAATGTCTTCTAGTTTTCATTGCATGTGTCTTTAACGTCTCTGGTTAGATTTATTCCTAAGTATTTTATCTTCTTGGGGGCTATTGTAAGTGGTATTAATTTGATGATTTCCTCTTGAAAGTTCTCTTTGTTGGTGTAGAGAAGTCCAACTGATTTTTGTATGTTTATCTTGTATCCTGATATTTTGCTGAAATCTTCATTAGTTCCAGTAGTTTTCTTGTGGATTCCTTGGGGTTTTCTGTGTATAAGATCATATCATCTGCAAATAGAGATTCTTTTACTTCTTCCCTACCAATTTGGATGCCCTTTATTTCTTTTTCTAGCCTAATTGCTCTGGCTAGGACTTTCAGCACAGTGTTAAATAAGAGTGGTGATAAAGGGCATCCTTGTTGTAAAGCCATTCTTTAAATCTTATCACAATGCGAATACGTTGGATATAATGCTTTAAGTTCCTAGTAGTTAAT